TTATCTCAGGTTGTTTTAAATACAATTAAGTCATTTTAGTCAGAGAGACAGACAGAGAGACAGAGAGACACACAGAGAGACGGACGGAGAGACGGACGGAGAGACGGACGGACGGACGGACGGACGGACGGACAGACAGACAGACAGACAGACGGACACACAGACACACAGACACACACACAGACACACAGACAGACCACTCAGCAGCTGGGTCAGCAGGAGAACTGATCCTCTGCAGGACCAGGTCCTCTCTAACCCCCCAGACTTTTTTCGGCTGCGTAGTTTCAAATTCTAGCGCACTCGAGCTGGTTTCTCCATTCTTACCTACTCTACCTTTAAGTAGCACAATTACTCCCTGTTGATATTTTTATATCAAACCCACCAAATCAATTCTTTGTACAGTGAATTTGCTCGTATAATTCAGACGGCTCCTCGAGCACAATAGAGCAGATCGGTGTGTGAGAGAGACTATGTAGTCTATTCAGCTGCGTTGCTGCATTGGTGTGTAATTGACTGTATTACTGCCCTGCCCCTGCTCTCCTAACTCCTCTAATCCTGCTAGCTAGCTAACAGAAATGACACAGCTAATAATAAAGCTTCATCCACCTGTGAAAATTAATTTTTTTTTGTATTTCAGGCACAAACTCGTCTGCCTTCGATCAGCTGGTCCTGACTCTGGCCTGGGACCGGGTGGACATTGCCAAGAATCATGTGTTTGTGTACGGACAGCAGCTCATGGTACGTTCTGTTTATCTGAGTGGGCCACAACTTTCATGAATGTTTGCTTGGCTCAGCGTTAGCTATAAACATTCGGACTTGCCCTAAAACGAGCCCAGAGTCTCAGCTGAACCACAATCTGCAGCGGAGGACCCGGGGGAGCGGACCTCGGCGCGCTGCCATGCTCTGCTTGTTCTGACTGAAACATGAACCCTCTTACAGTTATCTTCATAAGCTGCCCTGGGTGCTTTTGTTTGTTTTGAAACTAGCGGGGAATCCTAGCTTGTGCTGTGAATGAGAGGATAGAGTATATTTATTTAAGTTTCTTGTGTGTTTTTGCTGTAATGTGGACATATCTTTGGGCTTCTCCCCTCATCGTGTTTGTTTGATAAATAATCATTAGCTATTTAAATTTATAACAGCATGTTTTTGTTTGCTTGTTTATAGGTGAGCTCTCTGGAGCAGGCAATGCTGGATGCCCTCGTGATGGACAGGGTGGACTTTGTTAAGTTGCTCATAGAAAATGGCGTGAGCATGCATCGTTTCCTGACTATCAATCGGCTAGAGGAGCTTTACAACACGGTAAAATAATAAAACACGCAACTGAATTACAGAGATGGAATTTGTGAACAGAAAAAATACAAACGTTTTTGTGTGTTGAAATGCTTTTGTGTCTTTTTTTATTTTTTAGAAACAGCAACCCAACAACCCCACTCTCCTCCACCTGGTTAGAGATATTAAACAGGTACAGCCAGTCCAGTTTTTAATAATAATAACGGCATGCATTTGATTTAACGGCTGCTTTCCATAATACTCTATGATAATTGTATATTTAACTCATCAAAATGATCTAATGGTTTGTTTGTGTGTCTTCTTGCAGAGTCATCTACCTCCAAACTATAAGATCACATTGATTGATGTGGGCCTGGTTATTGAGTACCTGATGGGCGGGACTTACAGGTGCAACTACACCAGGAAGCGCTTCAGAATCATTTACAATAATCTACATGGCAGCAATAGGGTGAGTTTGAACTGTTGCAACACCAGAGGGAAAACAGTTCATAGTTCTCCATTAGCTTTGTGTTGTGTGAACGTGCCTTCTTGACACTTTCATCTGGTAGCAATTAACAGAAAATGCCTGAAAGCTGCTTTGGCGTAGGATGCATTTCCAACAGACTAAAAAACACAGAACCAAGTTTTTATAAAAAGACAAAAGTGAGGCATCAACAGGAAGAAGTCTCTGTCTGCCCACATGTGCTTAAGCATGTTTACAGTTTGCAACTTGTGTCATCGTGAAGGAATCCGGATAAATCAAAATATCTATGCTGTACTGACATTAGCTTGCTAACAGCTAACTTGTCTTTTCATAATTGTATTTACCGTACCCCTGGTCGACATAAAGTGCTCAAATAATCCCTTGACATGCTGAAATGTAATTTATGGAGGTAGTTTTTATTGTCGTGCCAACTCTTTTCCTCTCTCATGGGTGTGGTATAACACTCTCTGTATCTAACATTTATTTTTCTTGGTGTTTTCTGAAACTTCTGTCTTTGTTTTATGTATTGTTTTAAAGGGGACCTATCATGCAAAATGCACTTTTTGATGTCTTTTATACATGAATATGTGTCCCCGGTGTGTCGGGGAACTCACGCAGCGTCAGAAAATAAAACCCTCTCTCTTTTCCTTCGTACCCAAATCTTTAAAAACGGGGGTACAACGGAGCTGATCCAGATTTGCCGCCAATATGACGTCAAATCGGCGGCGGACCCACAGCGCTATCAGAAATGTTGCTATCAGAAACAATGCCCGACTGTTTTGGACGTAATGTGGTCGGTGCATGTTCGCATTAGCATCGCTAACACTCAGAGCTAACCTGTACTGGAGAGAGCATGTGTGTGAAGAAGCAGGAAATAAAAAGGAACTCACCTTGTGGTATAACCGGCAAGAGAGAAAGTCTTTGAGCTCCATACTGTTTCAGAAATCATCCTTGATAATCCATGATATGGCGTTTCATCATTGCAGTATCTGCCGGTAGCATCTCCCGCCTGAGCAGGCATAAGCTCCGCCCCTCTTTTTAAAGCTTTATACCCCAAATCAGCACTTTTGAAACAGGAAGTGAAATAGAGGGATATGAGGCATGGCTAGAATGGGTGATCTGTTTGGTATTTTGCACAAAACACTTCATAGACACGTTTCTTATATATTTGTATATATCTGAGACCTATGCTATTGCCTAAAAATAGCATGATAGGTGACCTTTAAGTGGTCCTTGGCACGTGGATGTCGTAAAAAATAAAAGCTATAGTAACTAGTATAGGATTGATGTTAGGCCTGAAAGTATTGTTGACTGAGAATCGTGTATCTTTCTTCTTCTGCGCAGAGGTCGGGGCGCCACCCTGCAGGTCCTGGTTCTCATTTGAGAAAAAATAACGAGTCCTTCAGCATGCAGGCTGACAAGAAGGAGAAGACGAGGCACAACCACTTCATCAAAACTGCACAGCCATACAAACCTAAGGTAAACATTGGAAATAGGAAAGAAGGCTTTCCTCAAAGGGAAAGTGTCTAACCTATCTCTGTATCTAAGGATTAAAATAACGTCTGCCTCCCTCCCTCATCCTAGCTTGAGTCTTCCACCGAGCAGAACAAAAAGAGAAGCAAAGAAGAGATCGTGGACATAGACGACCCGGAGACGCGGCGGTTCCCCTACCCTTTCAATGAGCTGCTGGTTTGGGCCGTGCTGATGAAGAGGCAGAAAATGTCGCTGTTCTTCTGGCAGCACGGCGAGGAGAACATGGCGAAGGCGCTGGTGGCCTGCAAGCTCTCTCGATCTATGGGCTACGAGGCCAAGAAGAGCGACGTGGTGGACGACACCTCCGAGGAGCTCAAGGAGCACTCAAAGTAAAGTCTTTCTGTGGTATTAATAATAATAATAATAATACATGGGACTTATATAGCGCTGTTCTGGAAACTCTAAAATGCATTATTTATTTGGTTTGTTATTTTATCTTTTCTTGAATGTCATTTACCACTGTTATGTATTTATATTTGTTTATTTGTTTGTTTGTTTAATATTTTGGTTTGTTTGTTTTTCAATAACAAATGTATTTCTTTAGGTATAATATATATATATATGTTAATAATTTAGTTTTTGGGAGAAGGGGTGAGATTAAATAAGTTCATTACATGGCTTAGTTGAATACTCTATTCTGATTGGTCAATTCAGAACACGTGACACTTTGTTAATCCAGAACAGACAGACCGCTGTCAAGCACTTATTGACCGTTGTTAAGGATGCTCACATCTGCACAAAGAAGTCCGTTCGATTTAACTGTATACAGTTTGGCCAGTTTACTTTTCTAACTGACAAGAAAACAGCGACAAGAAAACAGCGGAGAAGTAACG